TGCCCCCAAAGGCTATGAACAGCACTTTCTCTTCCATAAATAAATCTACAAACCCCTTTCCACTTTTGAAAATAATTTATAGGCTAGTCTGGCAGTTCATACTTAGATCTTTCAATATTTCATGGAGAATTTTGCAGATCCTTCACCATGTAGAAGGCTGTCAACTAAAACAGACCGTCAGTTTGGGTTTCTTCAGAAAGGTACAATGGCACCATGGCAGAAAAAGAGATTTAGAAATAGAGATGTCCTGAATTTTTAAACTTCTCCCAGATGGTAACAAATATTTTAACAACAGAAATTCTTCCCATCAATGACAAATCTAGTGTTTCCCATCTGTGCAAATCCAATTTTATCTCACTCCACGTTTTATTATTTTTATACAAAGAAGAATTTAGAATTTTTTATTACAAAGAATCATACACACACACATACGCACTACTTTGTCACCACCTTAAATCCCATTTTATTTTCCAATTTTCTTTGGTCTTCTTCATTCATATTCTTTACCAACATTTTTGTTTTTAATTTATTTACATCCCTGCCAGATCTCCAAATATTTTAAGCTTCCTCATAACGTATTCAATATAAACTCTTGGACAAGGGCTACAGTTAGTCTTTACATAGCATATAGGTGACTGTACTCCAAGGAATTGTAGAGTTAAGGCATCCACATTTAAAATTGGCAACCAACCAAACTCTGAATATTTAGCACCTATAACAAACCAAAAAAGGAAGATTTTATCTTTTCCTCCCCTCTCTGCCACTTTCCTTCAACTTCCTTGCTTTGTCATTCTATGAGCATGCAACACTCTATTTACAGATGGACAATTACCAGAAATGTACAATCTGAGTGTTCAGGTAAGCATGAAGCTCTTGAAAGCCTTTGGTGTGATCCACTCATAGTCTTCTTTTCATGTTTTCAGGCTTCCTGACTGTGAGTTCTGGCTTTTATCATAGTATAGTGTGAATTACTCTTATAATTAGCTTAGCATTGTAAAGATTTGGCCTTCGCAGAGTGCTGGTGCTGTTGGCAGCCATCTTTGGTTATTGTTTTGCTTTCCTCCATATGATGACTGAATGGAGGTAAAATATGAGAAAAAACTTCACGCATGAAAACTTTAACTAAAAAACCCCTGCACTGTTATTTCTTTCTTTTACTTGTTATTAATCTAATGTATCCATGAATTAGTGTTCAGGATCAGATAAACTGTCCTGATATACACTATAACTAATTGAGCTTTAAGAAAGTCAGCACTATTAACACAATCCAATTCTGTATTACAAATTTATGCTATTAAATGGTGTGCATTGGTACCTGTAACTGTGATAAATATGTAAGTAACCATCAATAAATAGGCAGGTAGCACACTTTTAATTCCTTACACTTAGATTAATTACTTGAAACATTGTTAGTAATTTCTACTTCAAATATTTTATTAGTTTATCAACATATAAAATACAGAAGTACAAAGAAAAATGAAAATAATGGGAAAATAGGGCAGGAAAGGGGGAAGAGAAAAATGTAGGGTAAGGGGGTGGGGAAGAAAAAGAAAAGCATTGGCTTTCAATTCCTTTTGATGCAGTAGAATAAGGTGGCAACATAGAACTTTAATATTTTACTTTTGTATAATAATATGTACTAGCTATTTCTATAATAACAAACCCCTCTAATCAGAAAAAATTGAAAATCAAAATTTCCTTTTTTTTTCACCTTAAACTAAAAGTCAAAAACAGTCTGAAACATTATTAGTAATTTCTGGAGGAAAGTATCCAAACTGGATCTGGTGGAACCTTTTTCCATATTTCGTTTCTTTGGAACAGCATCAGTGACAGGTCTTTCCAGAGCAAGGGACAGTACTTGCTTTCGTCAGAGCCAGATTCAACATGCATTCAGTGACTGTTCACCATATATGATATATTCAGCTTGTGGAATTTTCTCACCAGAATTGTTCAGCTTCCGTAGTTAGAAAAAGCTTTCTCAGGTGCTCTATATCTACAGATGAAAGCATGTTCCTAAAAAAGATTGAAAGGGGATACCATGATTTAATCCAGGGGTCTCCAACCTTGGCAACTTTAAGCCTGGAGGACTTCAACTCCCAGAATTCCCCAGCTGGCTGGGGAATTCTGGGAGTTGAAGTCCTCCAGGCTTAAAGTTGCCAAGATTGGAGACCCTGATCTAGTCTGTTAAATGATTTTAAAAGATTCATTTTTAATTAAGTCTTTAAATACCAGGGATGATTTGGTCTGCAGTTTTTGTTTCCTCCAAGTAAGTGCTATTAGTCTAACTTGCTAATGCAAGAATCCACTGTTGTTCCATGCAAGAATTTCCTTCAACACAACTGGTAAGGGGGAAACCACCATTTCTTTTGGTATCTGATTCTACTGCCAAATTGTTCTCAGTTAGGATTAATATTTTTTTAAAAAAATTTTTTTAGTCAACTGTGGTTTCTTGTAGCTTATAGCCATAATTCCATATTTTGTTCTATGGGATGATAGATAATAAATCTCAGACTTTTATTACATACATTTTTCAAATACCCCCAAGCAGTAAATTTTCCCTTAATCATTTTCCCACTCAATATTAAACTTCCCTCAGTCACAACTTAACACTTGGTCACCAGATTTTTTTTCCTTGCTTTTCTAAGCATTTGTTCCAGTTTCACGGAAACTTTTTAAAAATCTGAGGTTCTAAAATAAACACAATATTCAAAGTAGAATTTGACCAATGTAGAATACAGTAAAACTATTACCTTCTGAAATTTGGAAACTATACTTCTGATGTTATCTATGGCTGCATTTGTCATATTTGTAGTTATATCATGCTATTCAGTTTGTGATCAACCTGTGATGACCCAGAGTATATCAGAAATATAACAAAACCCAAAACATAACTAAAAGTCCTTTAATGCCTTCAACTTGACTTCACTGTTTAATTGTTCACAGTGGAAGAGTAAACTATTTTCAAACTAACATTTCAAAAGCAAGAAACACAGTTCAAATTCAAAGAGCCAATAATGAAGCAAAAACCAAAGACAAACCACACTTAATAAAGTTCCATGACAGACCAGGATAGATAATTGCCAACTTCAGGAAGATAACCAGGTACAGTCCGTTGGAAGAATGCCAACCAAGATAAACCTTCTTTCGGAATAAAACACTAATTTGTCTCCAGCCTCTGTTAGGTCCAAACTCTTAAGCAAATCTCACACCTGCAACCCATGAAGAGGACCATGGCCCTCTCCTCCTGAGTAGATCACATTTTACCCTGATCCTCTCTTCCCTGCGTGCCCGAGGATGGATAAGGGGTGGGCCTGGGTCCTCCTCTGACTGCTCAGCCGGCCTCTGCCCTTCCCCACCCTCCTCCACCACCTCTGGAGCCACACTTTCACTCCATGTTGGCTGTTCCTCCTCTTCCTCAGAGTCAGTTTCCACCAGGGGCATGACACAACCACAGTTCTAAAACCCTTTTGTACCAGTATTATTGGCAATACAAATCAACCTCCACCTTACATTTTAGGTAAATGAAGAACTATGTCTTTGTACCAAGTAACTTTCATTCTATTATTTTCAACTTCCTTCCTGTCTTTCTAATGTTAGTGAACTCTCCCAGCTGCAGGTAAAATAATCATCTACATGGGCCTTCTACTATTCCATCCTATTCCATCCAAATATCTTGATCTCTCTTTCCAAATTGAAGGAATTTTTGATAAGATTGTTAGAGTCTAATTTTCAAATCTGTGAAAGATTCACCTAATAGATAACAGGTGAATCCATCACAGATGCAGCATCCAACCCTTACCCACACCTGTTAATCATAATGTCAGAAGATATTTATCCATTGACAAAATATTATCAAATGCTTTGCTGAAGTCACAATATATATTATACCCCTAATTATCTAAACAAGACATGAAATAAGAATACAGCAGCCTGAAAAGACTTGTTCTCATCAAATCTCTGATAAGCACTACATTGTTTTCAAAGTGCCTATGGATAAATCCCATTATGATCTGCTCTAAAAACTTTTCAAGAATTGATGTCATATTGACTTCTGAATCTCTCTTCCTCCCTTTTTGAAGATATGGATAATGTTTGCTCTCCTCCAATTATGTTATACTTCATCCAGGTTCTATGGGTTCTCAAAAACAATGGCTACAGATTCATTATTTCCTGTAGATGACATCTTCAAGTTCTCTAGGTCAGGGCTGACAAACTTGCAGCCCATAGGCCAGATGTGTCACACACTGGCCATTCCCACGCCCAATTTAGCAAAGGAGAAAAAGTCCCAATACATCATGTGACGCCATCCTGATGACATGAGTTTAACACTCCTGATCTAGGTACTTAGGTGGTGAGCCAATGGTACTTTGCTAAATCATCAGCATGAAGTTTGCCACTGAGAGGTTAGGGGGAATACTTAGGTATAGAAGATCTTCTATGTGCCCTGGAAAATAGAAAGGCACCCAACAGTGAGAACAGCTGACTTAATATTTCTTGGATTCAAATCTACGTTCTATTTTCAGCCTCTAGGCTGAAAAAGCTGATCCTACTTCCAATTTTTATTACAGATAAGACAGCAAAGGCAATTGCTGTGGGAGAGATGCCAGAAAAGTCAAGATGATGCCTCTGACTACATAAACAAAACTATCTGTTTTACTTTGTGTCCTACTCCCTACGGATGGCCCTGTGGGACAGTGCATCTACAAAGATCCATTGGCTGGAAAGTCCAGCTGAAGTAAACACATTGGTTGGAGTGGAGGTGCAAATTCCCCTGTTTGGTATTCAATTAGTAATGTTCTGTGTTTTAGCAAAAGCTATGTATGTATGTATGTATGTATGTATGTATGTATGTATGTATTTATTTATTTATTTCTTCGATAGAAATTCAATCTTCAATAGATCACTAGAGATGTGCTATGTTCCTTCCTGCTTCAAACATTCTACCATCATCCCAGTGCCAAAGAAGCCCTCCATCAAGGAACTGAATGACTACAGACCAGTTGCTCTAACATCTGTAGTTATGAAAATCTTTGAAAGGCTTGTGCTGTCCCACCTGAAAACCATCACGGATCCACTGTTAGATCCCATGCAGTTTGCATACCGAGCAAATAGATCGACAGATGATGCTGTTAACATGGCTCTGCATTACATCCTACAACACCTTGAATCTCCAAATACCTATGCAAGGGTCCTCTTTGTAGACTTCAGTTCAGCATTCAATACCATCATTCCAGACACTCTTCTAAGTAAATTAACCCAACTAGCGGTACCTGAACACACTTATCAGTGGACCATAAGCTTCCTAACAGACAGGAAGCAGCAGGTGAAGCTAGGCGGAATCACATCCGATACCTGTACAATCAGCGCAGGGGCCCCCCAAGGCTTTTTTCTATCTCCATTTCTCTTCTCCCTATATACCAATGATTGCATCTCAAACGATCCATCTCTTAAAATACTGAAGTTTGCTGATGACACAACAGTGATTGGCCTCATTTGAGATAATGATGAATCTGCATACAGACAGGAGGTTATACAACTTGTCTCATGGTGTAACTGGAACAATCTGGAATTGAACACACTCAAAACCGTAGAAATGGTGGTAGACTTTAGAAGAAACCCTCCCATACTACCACCTCTTACAATACTAGACAACACGGTATCAACAGTAGAGACCTTCAAAATTCTAGATTCTACTATATCACATGACACCTAACATCAAAAACATCATCAAAAAAGCACAACAAGAATGTTCTTTCAGAAAGCTCAAATTGTCCAAGGAGCTGCTGATGCAGTTCTACAGAGGAATTACTGAGTCTATCATCTGCACCTCTATAATTGGTTTGGTTCTGCAACCCAACAGGACAGACATAGACTTCAGAGGATAATTAGGACTACAGAAAAAACAATTACTACTCACCTGCCTTCAACTGAGGACCTGTATACTGCATGAGTCAAAAGGAGGGCTGTGAAAATATTTACAGACGCCTCACATCCTGGACAAAAACTGTTTCAACTCCTTCCCTCAAAACGACACTATAGAGCACTGCACACCAGAACAACTAGACACAAGAACAGTTTTTTCCCAAAAGCTATCACTCTGCTAAACAAATAATTCCCTCAACACTGTTCAACTATTTACAAAGTGTACACTACTATTACTGTTAATCTTCTCACCACTCCTTCTCACCCATCCACTCCCACTTGACTGTTTCCTAGTATGATTTGATTGTTGATTGTACCCTATGACTGGCATTAAGTGTTGTACGTTATGATTCTTGATTCTTAATGAATGTACCTTTTCTTTATATATACTGAGAGTATTTATACCAAGACAAATTCTTTGTGTGTCCAATCACACTTGGCCAATAAAGTATTCTATTCTATTCTATTCTATTCTATTCTATTCTATTCTATTCTA